TCATACAAAGTTGTAAATGATTTTTACCAGAGACTGGAACCCAGGCATGAGTTCAACCTCTCAACCACTCACTACCCAATACTAATACAGTTATAGAATCCAAAATAAATAAACAAAAAGTAATTAAATTATTATAATACAGGAAGTGTGGTAGATATACTCTAAGGTGACTGCCCCATGATACATGCCTCCCGATATTCATACATTTGTGTAATCCTTTTCCCTTGAGTATGAGCAGGACCTGTGACTTTCTTTTAATGAATAGAATATAGCAAAGGTGATAAGCGATCACTTCCATGATTGCTTTTGTTAACAGATTTGCTCTAACAGGTTCTCTCCCTTGGTAGCTTTGAAGAAGCAAGCTGCCACCTTACAAACTGCCTTCGGAGAGGGCTATGAGGAGGGGAACTGTGAGGAGCCCTTAGGAGCTAACAGTGGCTCCCAATGACAGCCTGCAAAAAACTCACACTCATTCCTACAACCACAAGGATTTGAATGCTGCCTAGAATCAGGCGAGTGAGGAAGGGGATTCTTTCCCAGTCCGGCCTCTACTGAGAACTGAGTCCTAGTCTACACTTCAATTAGTGCCCTGCAGAGAACCCAGCTAAGCTGCGCCCAGACTCCTGACCCAAAGAAGCTGAGAGATAAAAAAAAAAATATATATATATATATGTATGTGTTGTTTTAAGCCTTTAACTTTGTGTTAATTTGTTACATAGCAATAGAAAACTAATACAAGAGGAACCTACTAATTATTTTAGCCTGTAAAGGTGAACCATTGAAAAACATACCAGATTGTTTCCTTTCTCTAACCAATCAAATGGAAACAAAGAATTTGGTTTTGATCTACTATGTTTTCACCATTGACATGCAAACTTTCTAATGAAGAAAAAAAGATCTTTTTTTAAAAGGCATCAAATATAACTTACTTAAATCTGGGATTTTTCTGTCCCCCACACTTTACCCATTTTAAAACATTTTCTCCTGAAAGAGAAAGTGGCATAAATGTCCTGCTAGTTATTATATAACTTTTACAGTTTATAAAGCTCTTTGTTATTTGGATTTTAAAAAGAACACTTGCAGGCCATTAGGATGTCTCTTCTCCTTCCCCACTTTCCAAGTGTATATTATTTGCTTTTCTCTGTTTTCATAATGCTGATAATACTTCTAATTCTGGCTGCTTTTGTACAAGATTACTGCTCCCAGACCAATATTCTTATGTGAATATTAATTGGTTGAATTTTTGATTCCCAAAAAAGGGAAATTACTTTTCATGAAACTTAATGCAAGAGGAGGCAGGAGATTCTGGGAAGATGGAAGTTTCTGCCTTCCTGATATGCTCAATTCCACTCCAACTCACCTGTCTCTTACAGCCAGCAGCTCTTGAGGGTGGTAGTCAGGTGAGCTTGGAGTACATTAGTAAAGGAGCCATAGCAGGCCTTTTGTGATGATCAGCCGGGGAGAGCATTGGGCATTTGAGAAGCGCTGGCCTGTTGGGAGGTCCAGACCTCTCAGTGAAGCTTGCATCTGCCCTTGGGAGTGAGTGTGCTGGGCCATCCTAGCCCACAAGGTCTTAGAATTGAACAGGCAAGGTAGAATCTTTTCCATGGAATTCAATTGGAAAAACTGTTCTAGACATCAGCCTAGACAAAGAAGTTATGAAGAAGACCCCAAGAGCAATCACAGCAACAACAAAAATAAATAAATGGGACTTGATTAAATTAAAAAGCTTCTGCACAGCCAAGGTAACAATCAACAGAGCAAACAGACAACCTATATAGGGGAGAAAATATTCACACACTATATAAAGGGTTTAGAGCTGGAATCTACAAAGAACTCAAGCAAATCAGCAAGAAAAAATAAAACAACTCCATTAAAAAGTAGGCAAAAGACATGAACAGAGCTTTTTAAAAGAAGATAGGCTAATGGGCAATAAACATATAAGAAAAATTCTCAGTGTTGCAAATCATCAGAGGAGTGTAAATCAAAGCCACAATGAGATATCACTTATCCCCAGTGAGAATGCCCTTTATCAAAAAGTCCCCAAACAATACATGTTGGCATGGATGTGGAAACATAGGAACACCCATATACTTCTGGTGGGACTGCAAACTAGTACAACCTCTGTGGAAAGCAATATAAAGATCCCTCAAAGAGCTACAAGTAGAACTACCATTTGATCCACCAATCCCATTACTGGATATCTACCCAAAAGAACAAATGACATTGTATGAAAAAGACATCTGCACTTAAATGTTTATAGCAGCACAATTCACAATTGCAAAGATGTGGAAACAACCCAAGTTCCCATCAATACATGAGTGGATTAATGAAATGTGGTAGATGTATACCATGGAATACTATTCAACCATAAAAAACAATGGGGAACTACCACCTCTTGTATTATCCTAGAGAGAGCTGGAACCCATTATACTAAGTGAAGTATCCCAAGAATGGAAAAACAAGCACCACACGTACTCACCATCAAATTAGTATTAATTGATCAACACTTAAGTGCACATATAGTAGTAACATTCATTGGGTGTTGGGCAGATAGGAGGGGGGAGGGGGAAGGGTATATACAAATGTAGGGTGTGGTGTGCACTGCCCGGGGGATGGACACTCTTAACCTCTGATTTGGGTGGGGCAAGGGCAATATATGTAACCTCAACATTTGTACCCCTGTAATATGCTGAAATAAAAAAAAAATTTAAAAATTTAAAAAAGTTTACATTTTATAGCAAAAAAAAAAAAAAGAATTCAACATAAAAATTGACTGGGCACAGTGGTTCATGCCTGTAATCCTAGCACTCTGCGAGATGCAGGCAGGAAGATTGCTTGAGCTCAGGAGTTTGAGACCAGCCTGAGCAAGAGTGAGACCCTGTCTGTACTAAAAATACAAAAATTGGCCGTACGTCTTGGTGTACACCTAACAGTTAGAAAATACATATTTTTTAAGAACACTTGCAACATATGTAAAAATTGAACACACATTAAACTACAAAGGCAATTTCAAAAAATGTTGAGGAATTTCCAAAATGACTAAGAAACAGAGACCAAATCCTTGAACAGGAGTTGACCAGAAAATGAAAGAAGACGTAGGATAGGGTTGAGGGGATCAAGGAGTCACTATTCCAGACCTAGAAGAGAGTGCTAGCAGATCCCCTATGGGTGTGAGGGGGCTTGGTACTGGTCCCTGAAAGGAGAGCAGTGCGGCTGGAATTCCCTGGTGAAGGAAGGTAAGCAGAGGAAAAGGTAGGATGGTACAGAGCTGAGAAGATAAGCTGGAGCTGGACCAAGCAACTGTTTGTGAATCATGTTTGTTTTTTAATGGACCAAGATTTGGATTTGTATCTGAAAACAATGGAAAATCATTGAAAGATTTGAGAAAAGAGGCAGATAGGATTAGATTTGGGTAAGGAAAACTTGCTCCCGCATGCTGCCCAGAAATTGGGCTGAATCAGACAAGAGTGGCAGTCGGAGACCAGGGGGGAGCAAATGTATCATTCAGGGAAGAGATGACTGGACTTTGGACAGGATGGGAGCAAGAGGGCAGGTGGAGATGAAAATGAAGGGGCTAACCTGAGAGGTGTTTAGGAGGTAAAAGTTACAGGATCCAGTGATGACTTGACTGTGCGGGGGGGGAAAGAAAAGTGAGAAGTGTCTAACTTGCTGAAATGAATAGATGATAAGACCAATAAGAAGAGAACCAGACATTATGTCGCACAAACACGTTGAATTCTTTCTTGTCTCTGGGTTCTTTGTTTGGAATGCTGAATTTCTTGCTTTTCTTTTGAACACACTACACATCTGCTGCAAGGCCCAGAGGATGTCTAATGTTTTCTATTCTTGATAATTTATATTCCTACAGCAGTATCTGCCCTTTACAATTTCACTTAATTATTGCAGGAATAGACCCAGGTAGGCCTGAGGTCTACTAGTGAGTCAGGATGCTCAGCAATGTGAAGCTGGGAAATTGAGTTTTGCTTCACCTCATGCACTCAGGAATATTTCAAATACACCAGGGTTGTTTCCAGTTACTTGAGCCTAGCAAGAAGGCACATTATACCCAGAGACTCCAGAAACACTGAGAAGGGACTGGAGACTATAAAAACCCTGTTAAAATGGCAAAGAGCTTCTCAAAGGACCTACAAGCTCCTTTCCCCAAGTGGTAGTAACAGCAGCTTCTGGGCACCTTCAATTAGAAGCTGCCCTATCTCCTGCTCCATGTAGCAGCCATCTGTGCATACTCAATTAATTTGTTTACCCATATTAAAGGAACTCATATCCTTTGTGTGTCTTTTGACATTTTAGGGCTTCAGCTGGTGTTAAAAAAAAATAAAATAAAAAAGACCTGAAGGATTTATTCATGTGAAATCAAAACCTTGGAACTGCCTGCATCTTAAAACCATTTGGATCACTTTCTGTTTATCCAACTGATTAGTGACTCTTTTTTGCCCTTACACATTTATTCATTTTGATAGTCTATCATTTTTTGTTTATTATAGCTACTTTTATGTTGCTGCATTTTTGTGATAACAAGAGTGATTCATAAATCAGATAATATCACTCCCATTCTCAAATCACTCCCTCTCTTCCCATGATACATGGAATGATAGTGATGGGCTATGAGATCCCCATATGATCTGACCCTTGGCTATTTCTTCACCCTATCCTCTTTTCCCATCCTCACTTACAATATTCTAGCCACATGGCCTTTCTTCCTGGAACACAACAAGCTCATCCACACTGCAGGGCCTTTGCAATGTCTCCCCGTTTACTTAAAAAATCTTCTTCCAGATGTTGATATGGTTTACTCTTCATAGTAAACATCACAAATGCTCACTAATATCTGGTTCCTTTTACTTCTGAGTACACAGAGGATTACTTTCATGATTGGCCAATGCTATGTGAATGGAAGTCCCACGCCACTGCTAAGTGAAAAGTTTATTTGTGCTGTCTGATTCTTCAGCCCTCTGCCCCCTTGTTGTTTTTATCAGGAAGGCCACATGTTCCAGATGACCCTACTACAAGACAGCAGAGCCGGAGTGATCAGGCATTACTGCATGGGGGCTTCAGAACCCTCACTAATCCAAGCTGGACATCAGTATGGGAGAAGCAAATCGTCCTTCGTTGTTTTAAGCCACTGAGGTTTTGCGTTTGTTGGTTATTGTAACATAACCAAGAATGTCCTGTTGGAACACCCCTTTAAATCTTTGCTCAAATGTCACCTCATCAAAGAGGTCTTCCCTGATACCCTATCCAAAATAGCAGCCCTCTGCCTGTCACTTCTGTGCCCCAACTTGGCTTATTTTGCTCTATATGACCTATTTTCCTTATAGAACTTAGAATGGAAGTTTTGTGAAAATAGCAACTTTGATTTGTTCATTAATATACTAATTAGCATCAAGAATAGTCCCTGGAACATAGCAAATGATCAATAGCTATTATCTGAATGAATGTTCATTGTAAAAAACTGAAATAATGTAGATAGATACATGTAATTTAGAAAGTAAATTCCCATGTAATTCCTTCTCCCAGAAATAATTACTACAGTTTACATATTTTTTCTACATTGTATTCTATTCATATACTAACTCATGTGTAAATACATTGCTTTTTTTTCGTAAAATGAAATATGCTCTTCTAAATGAATTGTTCTGCAACTTGTTTTTTCGTGTAACAATTACTCATGGATGCTTTCCATATTAGTGTTTAAAGAATTCTCATTCTTTTCAGTAGAGTAGTATTTGCCTTCATAATGACCATAAGTATGAATTTCCCAAGGTTTCTGACACATATTGTTTATTCACTCCAACTAGTATTTGTTGCATGCCTGTCATTCCGAGGTCTGGAATTTATCAATAAGCAAGGTTCCTACACTTAAGGAGTTTATGTGAAAGGTTCTGAAAAACAGATAATAAACACAAATAAACTAAAATATTTCATATGGTGATTAAGTACAGCAAAGAAAATAAAAATAAACCTTGTAATGTGATGGAGAGTGGCTGGGGATGGAGGTGATCGGAGCAGACTTCTCCTGGAGGGACTTTTGAGGTTGGCCCAAAGATGAAGAGGAACTAGCTCTACAAATATTCGGTGGAAGAGAGTTCCAGGTAGAAGGTGCCCACCAGCACGCTTACCATGACTGAGGAACAGACAGGCCAGTGCAGATAAAGTATAGTCTTTGAGGGGGAGTGTGATATAGAATGCAGTAAACAAAGAAGACTCAGATAATGTGGAATACTTAATAGGTGTTCAAAAAATGTAACTGATCAATTCCTTGTTATACATCAATAAGTACAATTTAAAGGTAAAGCCCCAATAAAGAGAATGCACAAAAGCTCCCATTTTGATCTTTACTTATAGCATTTCACAAAACATATTGAATCTGAAGGCTGAGCAGAATGTAGAATGTTTCAGCTTTTTTATAAGGCACCATTAATATGGCCATAAAATGCGTGGCCCTTAAAAGTACTTCCTATAGCTCAGCAGTATGCCTGAGATAACTTTAAATGTTAATGAAATGTTTCATATGTCCTCTGTTTTTAAAGCTGTTTATAGTTTAAGGAACTTCTTAAATGCAATCTCATTAAAAAAAAAATCTAATCTTAAGGCTAACTTACATAGAAAAAAATATGTCACAGAAAACCTGGTATATGACTTAAATTCAATCATTATTTTCTTCTGAGAAGAAAGCAGGATTGATTCTGTACTGGCCTCAAGTAGATTCTTGAAAGATCTATTTCTTTCCAAATGAAAATATATCAGTGGAAATAAAATTCTTTATAGCCTGTAATTCAGAAGCAAACTTTTATGAAACACTTTGGCATTGTGGGTATGTATCCAATGGCCTCACATATAACTGAAAAAACTAGATCGGTTTAGTTTCTAGTGAACCATGAGGATAAATTTGGGGGCAGTGGAAAGCATATTTCTTGGCATGCCCTGTTCATTCGACTCGAGACAGGTAATGGGAAATTAGACCACTGTGTTCTTACAGACGCACTTTCTGGTTTTGTTAATTTTTTTTTTTTTTATATATACTCTTTAATTCCCAGTGGTGACAACCTTCTGAAAGGATACTAAAGAAACACCTAGGGGAGAAGTTACAGAAGCTGAGCTCAGGACGTAAGGGGGCGTAGCAGCTACAAGGCAGTAAAATACACATACCTCAAATTTACAAAGATCTTTCATTAATCTGCGAGAAGTTTCATGTGGATTTGCCTTGTTTAATTAACTTTCTTTAGTACACTTTACATGTTTCACACTGGGAGATATATGTGAGTTAAATCAGAACAGCATGGCAGTATTTTTGTCAATGCTGGAAAAGCAAATTGTTCCTTTCAATTACCCAGTTCCTTTCTCCCTGGACCAATACACACAATGGAGTTGTTAATGTCATTCCTCTTTCCCCAGAGGACATTCTGACCAAGAACCTCTATTTCTCCTTTTGGTTTGCTTGGGTTGGGTTTTGTTTACCACCACGGAAGTAATGAAGGCAACGTTCATTGTTCCTCGCCATTTAATGGAGGTAATGATTGCCAGCCAGCCCGGGCTGTGATGCTAAAACCAAGGAAAAGCCTTTTCAATCATGGCCCCTGCATTTCAATCGAAGCCCCTGCTGTAGAACACTGGAGAACATGGTGTAAATCAGTTTAAGAACATAGTTCTGCATTCAAGGCATTGTGGTTTACAGCTCCCAAATGACCTCCATCTATCTTCCTTAGCTGTAGAGGTGTATAATTGAACTAAAGAGAGTCTTGAGTAATGAGGTTGAGAGTGGCAGCTCCATTGCTGTGGCTTAATAGTGTAACTGCCGCATGCTTTTTTATCCCCTAAAATGTAACAAAATAGTCTAGTAGGCCCAATTCTTCAGGGTGACACTTGCTGAGAGTCTATATTTCAAAATAGAAATAGGTTTTTATAAGCAAAAAACTATAAATCTCTCTCTACAAGAGAGCTTCCCAAATATAATTATACAAGCCACTCTCTGCTGGAGAAGAAACTAATATGAATACATGCAATAACCTGTACTTCTTTTTGTGGGGAAATTATTTTTAAACCTTTATTTTTCTTATGCAAGGAGCAACTGTATTTTTAGACTCCGGAAGGGCTAGGGAGTGACATATTGTCATACTATGTTCTGCTGGGAGCTAAAGCCAGAGGACACACATTATTGCCTTTTTTTTTTTTTTTTTTTTTTGCTTCTTTGATTTGGTCAATGAAACTAGTGAAAATATTGCATTTAGGTAATTCCTTTTTTCTAAGGAAGAGTTCACTTACAGATGATTTGTTTTCTTTTAAGAATATCTAGTTTATGTGCATTTATCAGATATCGGCCATGTACAAATTGCTGTGTGAGGACATTAGTAGAACATGAAAACTAAACAAAGACATAATTACTTCTATGTGGAATGCTCTAGGATTATAGTATTGGCTGAACGTTATGAATGAGGCTATTAAATACAGTCATTTAATATGAGTACTTAGAATTACGTGGAGGGTTTCAGAGGTTCTGAGATCTCTATCCTCCCCAAAGACTAGAACAATTAAAAACAAATAACCTGCCTGCTGACTGTGCCTGAAATTCCATCCTTGGCCATTCAATAATATTGTGCAAGATACTGCTGGTTAAAACGCAAATCTCACCAGAGGAGCAAATTATTAAATAATAGTAAAAACAACAACTAGCACTTATTGATTGCTTACAACATTTAGAAGAGTTCTAAGCACTTTCTATGATTTAACTCATTTAGTCCCCAAAATAGCCTATTGTCCTCATTTGAGAATGCAAACCTATTTTCATAATAATATATGTTATTTGCCATTTTCACTTTATTGATATCTGTAATACTGGATTTTCATGCAAAAGAGTATGAAAAGTTAATTGATATGATTTCAGATTCCACGTTGCAACAAATATTTAAGACACTGCCACCTGTTGAGTTTGACGAATATATCAAAGAAAGAAAGAAATCCACAATTATTTGAAAAAGCTATCATTAATAAAATAAATATAAATAAACAGCAAGTAATAAATCATTATCAAAAAATAAAGCAAGAACTGCACATTAAAATGATGTATAACATAACCACATTTATTTAAGAAATTATTCCAGTATCAAAAGGCAAATGCCAACAATGCTAAAATTTCAATTACTTTTGCACAAACCTAATGAAATGTTTCTCCCTTTTCTTCTTTTTTTCTTTGCACATATTACAGGGGTACAAATGTTTAGGCTACATATATTGCCTTTGCCCCACCCAAGTAAGAGCTTCAAGTGTGTCCATCCCCCAGACAGTGCGCATTGTACCCATTAGATGTGAATATACCCATCCCTTCCCTCGCCATCCACCCTACTACTATATGTGCGCATAACTTTCCTAACTACATAGTAGCATGAGGCTGAATTTTACTTAATATATTTTAACCAAAGCAACATATTGCAACATATCACAGAAGCATATATAGGAACCTAGCTATCTTTTATTGAGCCAGGCACTAAAGAATATTTTTAAAAATATAAAACAATGTTGGATTGTTTCCAGTTTTGGGGGGAAAATATGGATTTTATATCTATATCATTATAAATGCTTATGATAGTATGGAATGAGTTCATTACCATTATTTTTAAATGAATTAATAAATAATTTAAATTTTTTAATTTTAATTCTGAACAAAGTAAATATAAATAGATTTGACCCACACAAAAGTTTCTTGAAGTCTTCAATGTTTTTTATGAATGTAAAGGTATCTGGAGATCAAAAAGTTTGAGAACCACTGTATATCCTTTAGGATAGCCTGGGCTTCTGACAATGGGATGTCCATTGGGGAATGGCTTAATGGGTATAATAAGTTGTTCTCTGTGAGGCGTTTTCACCAGTTGTGAAGATTAGAGGAAAAATATTCCACATAAGACTGACTTGACTTCTGACATCAAGTGCAGTTCAGGGGTCCCTCAAACCACCCTCAGTTTTGATAATTCACTAGAAGGACTCAAGGAACTTACTGAAAACAAGCACAGCTTATTACAGGGGAAGAATACAGATTAAAATCAAGGGCAGAGTCCAGGAGGAGTGAGGACAAAAGTGCAGTTTACAGTTACTTTCTCCCTGTGGAGTCATGGACAGTGTTAACTGTTTCTGGCCATAATGCGTGACACCCACAGAGTATTGCAGGTGAAGCTCACCCAAGCCTCAGTGTCCAGAGGTTTTTTTTTTTTTTTTTTTTTTTGAGACAGAGTCTTGCTTTGTTGTCCAGGCTAGAGTGAGTGCAGTGGCGTCAGCCTAGCTCACAGCAACCTCAAACTCCTGGGCTCAAGCAATCCTTCTGCCTCAGCCTCCTGAGTAGCTGGGACTACAGGCATGCGCCACCATGCCTGGCTAATTTTTTCTATATATATTAGTTGGCCAATTAATTTCTTTCTATTTGTATTAGAAACGG